TATATGTATATGTATATGTATATGTATATGTATATGTATATGTATATATCCAATTTATTTCCTTATTTGGTTGCCTTGTCCAGTCTTGATATGAGGGCTTTTGCCTTGTTTTATTGTATCTTGTTTTGTCCTGTTTGGTGGTTGTGTCTCGGAGGCCTGCTCTTTTCTGAAGAGAATATGAATTTTAAAATGCAGATGTTGCCGGGTGGTGGTGGCGCACACCTTTAATCCCAGCACTTGGGAGGCAGAGGCAGGCGGATTTCTGAGTTCGAGAGTTTGAGGCTAGACTGATCTACAGAGTGAGTTCCAGGACAGCCAGGGCTACACAGAGAAACCCTGTCTCAAAGAAACCAAAAAAAAAAAAAAAAAGTAAAAAATGCAGATGTGTGCTCAACTTAATTTTGCTTCAAGAAGGAGTAACACTGAAAGAAATGCTAAGCTTTGAACATTTTTTAACAATAATATCAATTCTAAAATATTGTTCTAAAATAAAGAAAAAATGCTGAAATTTTGAATTTTACAATCACATGCTTTCATTATGAAAATATTTGCAATTATTATATTTGAAAGATGAAAAATAAATATACCAATAGCTAATGCAGCCCTTTCTTTACTACATGCTAATTTGTATTGGTATTAAAATTGTTAAAGAGTGTAATATTTACATTATCTTTTTTGTTTGTTTGTTTTTGTTTTGTTTTGTTTTTCGAGACAGGGTTTCTCTGTGCAGCCCTGGCTGTCCTGGAACTCACTCTGTAGACCAGGCTGGCCTTGAACTCAGAGATCCGCCTGCCTCTGCCTCCCAAGTGCTGGGATTAAAGGCTTACACCACCACCGCCCGGTTTACATTATCTTTAATAGCATTAAATTACTTAATCTAAATTCTAATAAATTAAAGTAAAACAACAACAGTCTATTTGCCAGTTTTTTCGTTGAGATTTTAATCAGGTTCACCCTGTTGTTGACTTGGCCAATTAGTGTTTGTGAGAAAGGCATGTGTGAACATGTTATATGCCATGTTCTTATTTTAGGAATATTTTGATGTAAACTTTTTCTCTATAGTCTTCTCTTCGTTGGAACCACATGGTTATTGATATGGTGTCTTTTAGCATTAAAGGTGCTGAAGAGAAGGTTGCTTCTAACTGGACCCCTAATCCTTTCAAGGCCAACAACACACATCATGCTTTTGTGGCTCTGATATCAAGATAATTATTTCTTAACAGTGAGTTTGAAAAATTAGCCTCAGACACATCATGGTGTTGTTACTCTGAACATCCTGCTGATGGCAGTAACTGATAGTGAGATTTCTGAATCATATCTTAGTTTTATTTAAAAATTATTTTTTTGAGGAAAGCCATGCTTCAAATGCCTTTTGCCGTTCTCTCTGCATCTATATTCTATCTTCCTGCAAGGTTCTGACATACTCTTATTTCATACAGAAACCTCTTCTGAACTCCATGGGTCATGATGACCCTGTGTTACTCAACATCTTTAGCACATATTACGGTGGTCCAATTTTTTCTTTCACATTATTTCTTGGGAAACTTATGCCTTATGCCCTGTGCCATTCCTATTGATTATAATATTATGCAAATAGTGAACAAAGAGCTCACGTTTCATTTAGATACAAAACCTGCTAGCAGGTCCTGTTGCTTGTACGGAAATCTGACCCTAAAACTTTTCATATGGTTATCATTTCTCATACTTTATTTTCAGCTAAATGACTAGTTTAATAAGTCTCAAAGAAATTTAATCTCTATTACACACACACACACACACGAAGACAGTGATGGCAAGATTAAAGTTGGCTATTGAGTTGGTTGTACTCTTGTGACCTACTTTGATGCTTGCTTTCTGATTCTGTGATTATCTACATAAATAAGTTGAATTCCATGGTATAGTGAGATGTTCTTTAAAATCATCTAATCAGAGTGCCAAAGGCAGGAGTGCACAGGTGTCTGAGGCCTACAGTTATTCACAGTTCCCCGAAGATGTCCATACCTGCCAGTCAGAAGCTCATACATCAGAATTCCTAGTGACCAGTAGTCAGCTGAAATGTCATGGCCTTTGTTCAGGATGATCTCTGGGGCTACGTATTCTGGAGTCCCACAAAAAGTCCATGTTTTCTTTCCAAATCCTATCTTCTTTGCGAAGCCAAAGTCAACCTTAGAAAAAGAGAAAGCAAGACGCTTGAGCTATTTATGATCAAGTTGTAGAGTAATTTGTACTTCACTTAGCACACTGGTGATACCAATAAACAAAAATAATTCATTATAGTCCTGTCTTCTAAAAGGAATTACATATGTTTGCAAACACAGATGCCCTGTTCAAATTCAGTTCCAAAGAGAAAGTGAAACCTGAACATGGATAACATTGAACTCACTAAAAGAAAAGCCTATTTCTTAAACACTGTTCATTTTTCCCTATTTTTTTTTTTTTTGCCAATAGTGGTTGTGGCATAAAGAGAGAATTTCTCTTCTAAAGAGGCCGAGGTCTAGGTGGGTCATCTTAAAAGTTTCCATGGCATATACATGAGTCTTTTTGGATGCTATGAAGCTCACAGCTCTAATACTGAATATACAAGAAGGTTTACTTTTGAAGGAGGTGAGTGATACACTGAAGAGAGCAACATTTTCCCCTAGTAAATAAGCAGATAAAACAAAATCTATCTCCTTTTAGTGGAATGGTTTGAAGGAGCTTCAAATACAGAAAGCCTCCCTTTTGTAAAGTGTTTGGTTTAGATGCAAACAGTTACATGCCATTGATTTAGATGTATCTAACATCCACGCGTGGGTAGCAAGTCCAATAGTTTACAACTAGAAACAAGCACCAATAGATCTAGAACTCTTAGAAGTTGAACATTTTTAAATGAAGGAACTTCAGTTATATAGTAGGTCTTTAGAACTCTTATCCAATTGATAGTGCCATTACTGTTAGCATAACCTAGATAATGTTACCTCAGAACTCATTTCTCATGAGCATTATTCTTAAACACCAAATACATAAAAGGTTCATGGTCTTGTATAGTACTAATTTCCACTGCAGGAAGCTGCTTAGAAATACAGAATTATATATATATATGCCAACAAGGGCATTTTCTAACACTTGAATACTTGCTTTGTGGGGCTATTATTAATTCAAACCTCTCCAATTTAATTTTTCATAATATTTTACATAATTTGAAATACATTTTAATTAAAAACTTCAATGCTAACACTGCTTTTAAGAATTTATAACATTGGAATGGAAAAAAGATTTTTCTGTTAACAAATGAACCCGAGAACTTTTAGACTTCAGGACACAACCCATATGTCAAACACACTGACCAGTTTAGCATAGCCTCGGTGATCTAGGATGAGATTTTCTGGCTTGAGGTCCCTGTAAATGATTCCTTTGGAATGCAGATAGGCAAATGCTTCTACTACACATGCTGTGTAAAATCTGGTTGTCGAATCTTCAAATGAACCCCTGAAAATGGAAAACAGAATGAGTACTGTATTCATTCTCTAGGAATTCATGGATATATGAGCTCATTATATTTCTGCACTAATGTTGGCTCAGAGGCCAATGTCTAACTGGATCCATATTACGCGGTTTCCATTCCATTGGGTTTTTAAAAAGCATCCGAGGATCAAGCCAAAGAATTCCTTGCCATTATGAGTGGGACAGTTAAATCCAACTTCCTGGAAGGCTCAAGAATGGATCAGTAGCATACTAAGTTTCATGGATTTTGTGGCTTCCTCTCAACAGCCCACTGCTAAATAAAAAAAAAAATGCTGAGTCCCAGCTGTGGGCAGGAGAATGAGTCCTATATTAGCACCTGTTTATTGACAGTTTGCTTTTCAAATGAGAGGTTATCTGATTAATTAATCGATTGTTCATTCTCGGCTACTTGGGATCAAACCCAGTTTTTCACATATAGTAGGCAAGTTTCATACCATTTAGCTAGATCTCTAGTTCAAAGGAGAAGTTACATTAAACAGTGGTTATTCACCTTCCATAGTAAGCATGCACATATCTATCAACTTAAATAGATGAATTTGTTCACGGTTACTTTTAGCTCATTTTATCTGGATCTTTCTAAAGAGTGTGGGTATGGTTCTTGTGAATGTGATAATGAGAGAAGCCAGTGTTCGCAGAGAGCCATGGCAGAGCTGTAACACTGTGCATGTCAGAGAGCTGCAACACTGCGCATGTCATCTCACCCGCCATGTTAGGTTTCTGAGTCTTCTGCGTTAAGACAGACATAATTTACCTTCTATACCATTGCCTTTGCAACAGTAAGAAGAAATGGAATAACAACTAGAAGAAAAAAGTCAAGGAACTGTTAAATTCCAACATTTAACACAAACGCATTTTCTCTCTGCCTCCTGTCTCTCTGTCTCATCTGTATTTGTGTGTGTCTATATATAAACATGTAACTTTATTAATTAAAATAATGATAAAAGATAGCTCTAAGGTCATTCCTAGTTTCTAGAGCAGAATCTTTGTATTTGTTTATTCACTGGACTTACGATGAACATGTTCTTTTACTTCTTTCTTAAGTACTGAGATTTGACTGAATGACTTCAGAATTTATGGCTGTTATCAGCTCTTGGCGTAGCTTCAATGAAACAGGAACTACTACAACTTCAGGTAGTATCCAGTAAACAGTGGGACAGGAGCATGCTCATAGGCAGGTCCCTGATAACCTGTCTGTATTTTGATGGCACTTAAAAAAAAAAAAAACCCTGAAAAGTGAAGTCTAACAAACTGAGCAGGGGAATATGGCTGCATATTTACAAAATCCATCTGCAAATCCAAGGCTGGTGCAGATGTCTTGTAGGACATTTGTACTCAGAAATAGTATGTTCAGCTGTACAGACTCAGTTACCTTTTATATCTCCCGAGTAGTTACTAAAACACACACAGATAAAGGAGACAGGATAGCATATAACTGTAATCCTAGCACCTAGGAGGCTGAGGCAAGAAGCCAGCCTGGACTTTAGAGAGCCCTTATCTCAAACACAAATCTTATAAATAAAGTTCAAGGTTAAATTAATCTCTGGGAATGGTGACATCTACTCTAAGTGTCAGAGCTTTGACTCTCATCACGGAGAAATCACCATCCCAGTGCTATCTGAGTCACACAACTGTGACTTTCAAAGGAGGTAAGAAAGGGCCTATGGAAAGAACCACATCCATGGCAGGAAGGGAATGGTGTTCTTTAGGTTACAGTTGCCCTCTAACAAGTAGAAAACCTAGTCAGGTCTAAAAAATCTACAATCCTGGGGACTAGAAAGGGATTAGAGCATTATCCTGAATTCTTTTTCTGAATGTTTGTCTACCCAGAATAGAACATTTCTTTGAAGACATGCTTTACTTTAATGAGTAAGCATATGCACACACTTCTGTTGTATATGACTTCAGTTTCCCTGAACATAAAACATTCCAGAGTAATGCTAATCAAAACAGTCCACGAATGGGGTTTTAGAAGATTTCACACTGCATGGCTTGTTTGAATCCAAGAGATCAATTACTTCCTTTCTCCAGAGATACCTATCTTGGTTCTGAGCCATTTTGGACTTTAGAAGGTTCTAGAAGTTTGGTTTCTAATTCTTTCAGCAATCTCTATTGAGTATATATCACGTGTAAGTGTATTTGTAACTTATTTTAAAGGTTAAAGGGAATCTTAGTTTCAAACTTTGAGAGATTAATATAACAAGCACACACAAATAATGTATCAATAACACATTGTTACACCATTAAATATTTGATTAAGGCCACTGAAAGCGGTCACAGAGCATAGCATTAGAGTGACTGAAAATAAAACATTGCAATTAGAATTGGCAATGGCAGTGTCAGCTTGATCTAAACAGAAGTGAAAGCTTATTTAATCGGCTGTTTAGAGAGTTTCTCAAAGAAAGAAATCATTTATTCTGTGTAGCTCTTTGAAATAGTAAATTGTGCTTTGACAGTGCTATCACTTCAAGTCAAATTATGGGAACAGGCTCTCATGTGTTCCTTAGGAGTTGTTGTTTTAGCTAAATGGCTTGAAACGTCAATTTGATAAAAGTAGAGGACATATGTGTATGTATATATATATATATATATATATATATGTAAATAAGAATTAAAATTTAATCACAGTATTTAATCAGCTAATCATAAACTGAATCCTGAGATGTCAGAATGTAACAAAGACAAAATATCTCTTATCGAATGAGGCTAGGCATTATTATCTAGTGGCAGCCATCATTAGTGAGCACATACATCTGCAGGGTTACAATATGCAGGGTTATGGCCCATTGTAAAAAGGGGTAGCTAGGCTATTGGGTAAACTGACTCATTTCTTTGGCAATACTTTCAATCAGTGCTGTCGCTTAGGTCACCAAAGAAGAGATTAAATAATCACCCTCTACAACATAGTCAGCATCATAGACTCTATCCAGGAAGGCATGGGATGGGAAATTTAGGTGGTATGTGACTTGAAAATCATGAGTTCTGAGATACTTAAGTGATTCAGAACAAAATTAATAAAGAAAATGAATAAATAAAAATTAATAACATGCAGCTTCACTAGATTAAAATATATACCAAATACTCATATCAATATATATGCTATGTGCTATATCTTATTAACATGCTAGTGCACTTTTATCATATTCTACTGGATATGTAAATCCTAATAAATATTTATTATATTAGCTAATTATATTTTTAAAAGTTTCAGGAGTTATGCATTTCTTAGGTGGTAGAGGGAAAGTGAATAAAATATAATTTCCACTTGTCTTATCCCAAAGAACAAAACAGAACTTTTGGAAGAAAAAAATATCATGGATTAGATGATAAATTATAATAGCTACTAAAGAATAAAGCTGGGAAATGTGAGAAGGCATAAACAATATGCCAGTGTTTAGCTTAGGTCTGTTTAATAGTTCTTAAATTTTGCCTGCATGTAGCATCTACTTAATATTCTCTGTCTCTCTATGTCTGTCTCTGTTTCTGTCTCTGTCTGTCTCTCTCTCTGTCTCTCTTTCTCTGTCTCTCTCTCTGTCTCTCTGTCTCTCTCTGTCTCTCTCTCTCTCTGTCTCTCTTTCTCTGTCTCTCTCTCTCTGTCTCTGTCTCTCTCTCTGTCTCTCTCTCTGTCTCTCTCTCTGTCTCTCTCTCTCCCTGTATGTCTTTCTGTCTGTCTGTCTGTCTGTCTGCCTCCTGAGTAGCTGAGGCTATAGGAATGAGCTAACAGACTTGGCTCCCAGCATTTTATTGAGAAGGTGAAATAAGTATATGTAGAATAAAAGAGTAAGATTATACATAAGATTATATATGCACACAGAAGAAGGAGGGTGAGGGAGGGAAATGGGCCCAAGTCTATACATCTATAATAGCTTTCTGTTTGATGATTCGATAGTTTTAATGTGGGGTTTCACATTTTTGGAATATATCAGAGAACTAAGCAGCCTTTGTTTTTCTACATTAAGCTCAGTTATGCATATCAAGTTCCCTAGGGGTACTTAGCAACCATGTACTCAGAACTCAAGGATGACACAGGGGAGGGGAAAGGGAGGATCAGAACACAGCCCCTGGAGATAGAGGAATGAACCTGCACTGTTATTGTCTATTCATCCAGTCTTCCCAAGGGAACCGAATTCTTCACAGTCACCCTTTGTTATCCTGCTGAGTCAGAGTGTTGCTTACTCAGAAACCCAGTCTGTTACATGTGACCAGCCAAACTCTAGTCTCAAGTGGCATGAGAAAAAACATGAGGTGCTATTTTCTTGCAATTGAATACTGATGTGTAGACATATCTTAAGCTTGCAGGCTGAGTTCTATGATGTTGTTATGATTACTGTCCTAATAAAGGAACTCAGTATCAATTTTGCAGAGCTCTGGGAGCATAGCTGGTCCCTCTTCTGTACTGCTTATTATCCTTTCCTGTTTAATTCCACCTACAAACTCTTTTAATGAACAGAAAATAGGGAAAAGGTTTCACGTACAGTAGCAAAGGGAGAATGTAGAACAACATGAAGAATGTTAGGTGTTAATTTACCAATCAAAACAATAACTTTTTGCAATAGTCAGCAAGTTCTGAGGAGTGGGACCATATCTATTCTATTTATCAGAGTATATCCCAAGGCTGCTATCACCATGCCTGTCATAAAAATTATGCTCCAATTATTAACTAACAACACTACAGTAATATGCAGTGATATGGTAGCTTAGTACAGATGTTGACCTGATCCTGGATCAACAATAGGAGTTCTTTGTATGCCTTATTTTAACCTATAGTTAATACATCAAACAAAGTACTAGTAAATTAAATTATAACATATCAGGAAGTGATCTATTTAATAAATATATGTGAGTAAGGCCACTGGGATCAAAGGCTGTATGAAGATACAAAAAACACAAAAGAAAAGAAAGCTTAAGTCAAGAGTTTGTAAAGAACCCCCATTCTAACCTGGGCTATCTAAAAAACAAAACAAAACAAAAATCAACTATTTAAAATTCAGATGATGCACAGGAAAACCGAGCTATATAGCTCTAGTTAAATTTGGGAGTAGTGATTATCCAGGGGAGAAGAACTTGAAGGTAAGGCTGGAACAAATAAGAAAATAATTTTTAAATAAGGATGTGTTTTCTAAAAGTGAAAAGACAACAGAATGTAGCTACTATACCAGCACTCTGGATGCAGAGGAACAGGTCCAAGGACCTTTTGAAAAGATACAATATTTGGGAATGTATTTCAGTGGGAGAGTATATGTTTAGCAAGTGTAAGAATTTAGATTTGATCACTAACATGGGGTGGAAGTCCACAATGACTTTTGGATGATCAAAACATATTTGGAGGAAAACAAAGTCGTTGACTTTAAAACAACAACCAAAAATGGAAATGATTCAGAGAAAAAAAGCTGTGTTCTCTCTAGACAAACTTTGCCTCCCAAAGAAGGGCAGAAGGGCAAATCAAACTGTCTATGTGAAAAGGTGCAAATAAGTGGATTAATTTTTTTCCCTTTAGAGTCAGCAGCCTCTAAAAGACAACGGAGTGAACTCATGTTTCAAAGTAGAGCTATGAAAGACAGAGAAAACGTAGACAGGGTGACCATCTGAAAACTGTAGTGCAATTAAAGTGACAGGTAACCCAGGCTACAGTTACGATGCTGCTGCCAGTCTCCCAGGTTAAAGCACAGTGTGAAACTCCAGGTGTGGAGCTGGCTGATTCCAACCTTCACAGCTTACTAAGACCTGAGTGATGCATACACTGTCCTACTGTAAAGTGGGGTCAACCTATACCATTAGCTACAAAGTTTTACATATCTTATGGTAAATTCTTTATGCTGTTGGTGGTGCCTCATGTGTGCAAAGGAAAACATAAGCACTTGTAAAATATCAATATAAGTTTATGTGTGATAACAATAGATTCTTTTCATAGATCATCATGTGTCACTGTGATTTCAGAAACATGGCAGAAAAGATTGAAATCTCTTACCTATCCCTGAGAATAGTCCAGAGCTCTCCACCTAGGCAAGCTTCCATCAACATATACAAGTACTTGCTGTCTTTAAAGGTCCTGTATAGCCTGTGAACAGTAAGCAGGGAAACAAAAGTATGAATATTAGTATCTTTTAAAACACTCATTTTAAAGGTTGGTGAATTATTTATTGAATTGATGAGCATATATATATATATATGTGTGTATATATATATATGTATATATATACACACATATATATATGTACATGCATATGTATGTATATGCTACAATAAGGTGTTTTAATGCATATATGTACTGCTTAATAGTTAAACCAGAGCATTAAGCACATGTATCAAATATTTATAGCACAAAGTTACAGAGACACCAGAGCACTAAGTTCTGGTGTTCTACTTGCATAGTTGAGAATATTGAATTAAATACTTCAAGATCGATAAAAGAGACAATTTATGATGTCCCTATCATAAACACAAGCGCACAGCTTGCAGTGCTCTGACTTGCTAGTCTTGGTATTTTGTGATGAGAATGGAGGGCACTCATGTCCACAGGAAGCTAGTATCGCCACAGATGATTCTTGTCAGCTATGGTACTAAAAGCTTCTAGACTGGACTAATCCACATGGGTATGCGTGTGAGAGTTTTCTGATTTCGCTGATATATTTTGTTTGTTTGTTTTTCGAGACATGGTTTCTCTGTATAGCCCTGGCTGTCCTGGAACTCACTCTGTAGACCAGGCTGGCCTTGAACTCAGAAATCCTCCTGTTTCTGCCTCCTAAATGCTGGGATTAATGCGCCACCACTGCCTGGCAGATTTTGCTGATATTTTAATCATGGCCTTGAGAAAAACTTAGTGGTCATAAGCACATAGTATATAGATATAAAGTATATCATTTTTTGTAAATATACATTGTAAATAGTTACTTAAATTTGTATCTTAACTTTTTATGAGTGCTACTAGCAAATTAACTATAAACATCTCTCCTACGTATAAAAACTCTTCATTATCATCTTATTAGTGCTATGAAAATGCTGAAGCAGACAGATTTGCTGCCATTTTATAAAAAAAAGAAAAGAAAACATCTATAAGCCCAGTTGCTCAGTGGTTGGAGACAGGCAGAAGCCTGCAGCTCACTGGACAGCCATCCCAGGAAATGAATGAGGCCCTGGTTCAGCAAGAGACCACATCACAAAAGATAAGGTACGGAGTGGCTGAAGCTGACACAGCATCATTCTCTGGCTTCCACACATGTGTGTATTCACCTGTACACCCACACACATGTGTCAACACATGAACACAAACGCATGTATATTCCACACATACCCAGAAATAAATAATAAGTTCTTCAAAAAAAATTAACAGTAACTAGTCTGATTTTGGTATTGGTTTCATATGTTCTCAAGCTATGACAGAAATGAAATGCTGAAAGTTGGTATCTAGCTTTTGAAAAATATCTTTTCTCGAGAACATGAGAATATGATTCCTTTGGAAAATAAATATAGGGGCAAGCCTTTTATTCTTAGATGATCGAACAATTTTCTCAAGTTTGTGTGTGTGTGTGTTTGTGAACATGAAGTAAATACATTAAATTAAGGGTGAACATCATGAAAGAGAGCACCATAGTTGATGTGTCACGTGGGGCTGGCACGTTCATTGTCAGGGGTGTGCCTTTACCTCACAATGAAGTCAGAATGAGCCCCCTGCATGATCTGCTTCTCCGAGCGGATGTGTTCCTGCTGTCTCGTGTCCACAATGTGGCGTTTCTTGAGGATCTTCATCGCAAATGTTTTGGATTCTTCACTTTTCAACTGGACCTTAAAGACAAACAGAAAGGACACATGAGCGAAAACCTTCAGGCTTAATACGCCACACTGTACCATTGTCCTAAAACTAACAGGTTCATGGAGGACCCAAATGAGTCCCAACTACCACCCATGTGTCACACAGGGGGTACCCATGTTAGAGAGGCAGAGTTTACAAGCCACAATGTACAATCATCCTCAAACCTCACTGTGCCAGATCATGAGTTTCAACTAACTACATCCCAAATTAATTTTGTGCCCACAGGAATTGGAAGAAATGTATAGTTCATATTTCATTTTATTTCATATAATGAGTCTGAGTATAGTACCAAGTCTTTCTTTATCAAAAATGTCTAATTTTCTTTTCAATTCTATTTCATATGCTGGTGACAAAGTGTGATCACATGATCACCTGGGACTTTATCCTCTTCATGGTCCTCATCCATAAACATTTCTAGGGTTAAGTTTAGCGAATAAAGCTGGTCCCTGCTGGGACTGGAGATGCATATGTCATAACTGCTATTATCCATGTTATTTTGCTATCGTTTCCTTGCCTCCAGTTAAAATATATATAATGAAGGTCCCTGCCTCCCCCTCCCCCCCGATTTTTGAAAACCACTTTTTCCTTCCTCCATCAATCTTGGTGGCACTAATCTCTTTGATTTTGAATCTTGCTCTTTGGTTGTGTCCACTGAAGATCAATATAGTGAACGTGCATGTCACGAAGCCCATAAGGTTCCCCTGTGCCTATGGAAGAGGCTGGATTCCTCCAATACCTTCTCTTATGTGGGCTACAGGTGTGTTCATGCTTAAAAGAGATTCAACAAGGAGACTAGTAAGATGAGGAAGGACCGTGATGGAGCTGATCAGTTAACAGTCGTCAAGGGAGCTCTCACTGAGTGTTCTTGAGCACTGAAACCTGACAGCAACACTCAACAGCAACATTATTCAGACCCAAACAAAACTTCAGAGAAAGAACATGGCAAGTGCTGGCTGAAGCATAGCTCACCCTTCCTGGGTTCTGAATCCTTTGCTTCTTCATCTACAGGTTTAGTGAGTTATTACATGTCTTGTCTACATACAATGCTTGCATGAATTCAGTCTGAGAAGATTAATACGTCATGAGCAAGTGAGTGGACACATCAAACAGTGCAGTTTGTGTTTGTGAATCCATGTGACCAGTTAAAGGGGAAAAAAGCATAACATGAAAACAGCTACAACAGCCAAAGACCCAGTGTGAAACTCCTTACAATGATAGGTTGGTATGGCACAAATGAATTCTGTTGTTGTTGAAGTTGAAGATGGAATTGACAAATAAGCTGTTGTGAGAAGAACAAAATTCTAAGCTTTCCAAGAAGAGAGAAAATGTAGCCTTATCCAGTTAACAAAGAGAATCCTGTGCAGCTCAGATATACAACTTAAACATTGTTTTCTTTATTGATAACAGTGACTTTTCATTTCTGTACAGGGTAGAAAAAGAGGTCAGCATTGAGAGCCACAGGTCTACGTTCTAATTCTCACCCGTCTTAATCTCTTGACTCTTGGGTCAATTCTGTAACTGCTGCAAGCCCTGATTCTTGCCAAAGACAATAGCAGCAATTGTTGTAGAATTACTGTTATCCCAAAGGAGGTTGGGTCAATGACTTGGCATTCTTTTTTTTATTGGTTATTTTATTTATTTATATTTCAAATGTTATCCCCCTTCCCAGTATCCCCTCTGCAACCCCTACCCCATCTTGCCTGCCTCTATGAGGGTGATCCCCCACCCACCCACCTACTCCCACCTCACTACCCTAGCATCCCCCTACACTCTTAAAGGCCTTCCTATTACTCTTCCTGCCTTGTGTAGAAGTTTATATCAAGTTGGGACAATCAAATGTTGCTTTAAAAAATTACATCTTTTCACAGAAGTAAACTTGGCATAAGTGGATTTAATATAACTAATCAGGTAAACTGGTAAAACCAAAGTTGAAACTATGCACACACAGGTGTTATCTAAGTTCACTGAACTACTAACTGGCAGAACTGGGTTCATATTCAGGACATTTGGAGCTGAGGCACTGTAAGTACACACAGATTTTCTTCACCTGGATATAAAACTAAATGAAGGTATAAGGATGGATGTTTACAAATCTGAGTTTAATAGGATATGCCGACTCTGACTCTATGTGAAAAATTGAACCATGTATTTATTGGTGTGTATCTTCACTACTCAATATGGGTGATGTCACCATCAACAGGGGCCAATCAAAGCCTTGTTGCTTGAGATAGTGAGATGGCTCATCAGGTGAAGGTGCTTTCTGCCCATCATGACAGCTTGAGTTCAGTCCTCGGAAACCACACACATGGAAGGAGGGAAAAACTGACGCCTGAAAATTGTCCTTTGATTTCTACACATGTGCCATGGTATGCAGATGCTTCCACATAAACACATGCATACACACAAAATGAAAATAAGCAAATATATGAAAAAGAAAGGGAAAAAGACTCAAGTACTCCTCTCGTCATTTATGGTGTCCTCAGAGGACTTGGGACACAGTGGGTTGCCTAAGTTACCCAAAAAAGTGGGTAGGAAGTGGTTAATGAAAATGGTGAAGAGGCTGACTTCATGAGAAGTAAATTGAATCCCAGCATCTTTTCTTTAAAAATTTGATAGCTTTAATTATGCATATATGTTTGTGTCCATGCATGTAAGTGTGGGTGCCCATGGAGGCCATGCAGAGGACAAAGGTATTTGATTTCTGGAGGTGAAGTTACAGGTGATTGTAAGCTACACCCCACAACTAATGTGGGTAGTGGGAATCAGACTCAGGTGCTCTGAAAGAGTAGTTTATGCTCCTCAACTGCTAAGCCATCTGTCCAACCCTGAATTCTAGATTCTTAACCTAGAACTATCATTGTGAGCTAACACAACAGAGGGTCTCCTGCTTATGTTAATTCCCTGAACAACACCCAACACATGTGTTCACCAGATCCTTTCTGGCAAACCCACCACTTTCCAAAGACCATTCATGGAGCTTCCAGTCAGCATTATTTCTATCAGGAAAAACCAGAAAGAGTCTGAATGACTGTCAATAGGAGCTCGGGAAAAATAAATTATGCGATGTCCATGAAATGTAGTTGTAAAATTGGTTTTAGAATAAAATAAACAGTATTAGTTGTAAGGCAGTATATATTTATGACTACATGTTATATATGCAAATGAGCATATGCCTATCTATACATATATCTAAAGACTTCATGAAAGGGCTGAAAGTCATCAACATGTTCACAATAATTTTTCCTTTATGGATATTTTTAGTTACTTCTGCCTTAGAACTTTTGGGTTGCTTAATACTTACAGAATTAATGTATTTTATTTTATGAGGTGTAGAAATTAAACTCTAGTTGTGGAAATAATTTATAATTTTCTAAGAGCTGGGGCTGGAGAGATGGCTCAGCGGTTAAGAGCACTGACTGCTCTTCCAGAGGTCCTGAGTTCAGTTCCCAGCAACCACATGGTAGCTCACAACCATCTGTAATGGGATCCAATGCCCTCTTCTAGTATGTCTGAAGACAGCAACAGTGTACTCACACACATAAAATAAATGAATATTAAATTTTTTTTCTAAGAGCTGGGAATATATTTCAGTAGCAGTGTTCTTGCCTAGCATATATGAGTCCCCAGGTTCAATTCCCAGTTACTTAAAAACCCCCTTTAATTATAATAGCTATTTAATATTATTCACTCAAAGTAATCTTGGTCCTATTCAATGTCCACAAATACAATGAGAAACAATATACTGCCCAACCATGGAGCATATAAATCTATGCAAGTTTTGAGACATTACATGCTATTCATTTCTTTAAAAATTTGTCTTAATTTATTCTTTTTCTGTCTGAACTGCATTTGATAAGCCTAAAGTAATGTGTTTAATACGGGTTAAATTTGATATACAAAAGTTTAAAATCAAAGTTAAGTTTGTCTTCCTTACTTCCTCTGTGTCTGATTAGTTACAGAATTTACTTGTAAAATTTTAAGACGACGGTGATGATGATGATGGTGATGATGATGATGGTTTTTATTATCTAGTAGCCCATCTACCAAAATAAAGAATTAGTGCTAAGTTCAGATAGAAGTGGGTGGCAAGGAGAAGAAAGAATATGTTTTTATATTTCTCCTTCCTTTTGTCTAAACCTCTCTGCCCCAATTGGCCAAGTCTGGTCAGATTTATCTTCCCTAGTAGACTCTCCAATCCTTCTAGACATTGGAGTATGCACTGGCTTAGGGTGGCTAGTCTGGTATTTAACTACCTTGGTTTGAATTTCAGTTGTGTTTCGGCCTCTTGTAGAAGTTCTTCAAAACCTTTGCTTTCTCATCTTTGTAATAGGAAGAATTCACAAAGCTAACCTTCGAGATTGGTAGAAGATGACCTAGAATACAGTTACCATTTGGTGACTATTAACTGCGCTTACTTTTATGTTTTATGTGTACCAGAGTTTAATGAGATCTTCTTGTCAAAGCACTGAGCATATGTGGTGCTACAGACTGAGTGCCACTCTGGAGCAAGACAGAGAGACAAGGGAACGAAAGAACACATGTGAAAAGGAGCATCTCACCCCAGAATCTCCTTGAAGCCTTTGACCGGCTGAGAAACAAGAATTTCAGCACAATGCTTGCTGTGAAAAGTTATCAATGTAAAGATAACATTTCTTTCACATATATAATTTTATGTTGAAATGACAATGAGTCAGGCTTAAATCCTGAATATATATGTCCCTAAGTAGGGACTCCTTTCTTTCATTGGACATTTTCGGGGAATCTCAAACAACTATATTCTTTGTTTATAGTAAAAATATCTTAATTTTCCTTGTAATCCTTCTGATCTAAGATCAGCTGGAATGCTATCCAATGCATGGAAACTACAATGAGGTCTCACATAGGCTTCTAAGCAACCCTTTGAAGATGATAGCTTCAAATGTCACCAGAATCCTGTGTGTGACTATTTTAAAGGCAGAATCTTCCCCCAAGA